TCGTGTCCCCATAGCACCAGGAGGATGGGGCGGCGCGCCTACAGTGAGCCCCAGTAAAATGGGGCTTGGCGCGGCGCGCCAGAGACGCGCCTAGATTGGCGTTTATCACCCAGTTTTCGTCATTCAGTCCATTTAAGTCCTTTTAAAGTGTATTAACGTTTTCCATTGATCCTAACTACATTAAATGACTTCTGAACAACTAGAAATCATCCATAAACATAAATCATAACCTTGAATCCATAAATTCAAATTCAAGGAAAGTCAAGGGCTAAGTCTAGGAAGGTCTCAGAGTCTTTTCAAGAAGTCTTTTGCAAATGTTTTTCACTTTATTTTAAGACTTAAGTTTTGAAGTTGAGTAAAGAGTAAGAGCAACAGTTCTTTTTCCTAAAAGCGATATATGGGGACTAAGTATTCCCAAGAGTAAATATTTTCACATTTAAAGATTAGAGGAAACTGAGATTTCCAAAAGAGTTTTGAACAGAAAAAGGGAACATTGATTCCAAGAGAGATTTTTAAGCTAAGTTTGAGCAATTATCTCAAACCAGAGAAGAAGTTGTTTTAAAGACATATGAGCTAAGTATATTTTGGGAGTAGTATTGAGCACCGATATTGGGACGCGAGTTCATATTAACTCAAGCCCCCATAAACCATGTAGCCATCATGGGCAGAAAAAGGATCATACTTTTTAGATGATTCCTTAGTGCTTTTTAGCATAGACTAGTGGATCCACTTAGTAGTTCAGGTTTTATACCGATGGCAAGGTATAAGACGGTCCTTGGCAACTTGAGGTAAAACGTTGTATCATCACTTAGGCTCACAGTGATAGTTGTCGGTTAGAGAAAATCCCACAGAAGTTATTGTATTTTTATATACATCAGTTTATTGTATTTTCACATAAATTTCAGAGTTATGTTGTATCCTTATATATACACAGAGTTGACATCATGTTTTTAAACAACTTTTCTTTATATTGCACTTGTTTTAAACTGCTTTATATTGAATTGAGTTCAGTTAAGTATTCATGAGTTGAGAAGAGCCAAGGTAAATGTTTCCTTCAGATTCCCTTTGAAGCATATGTTTGTTAGCATTCCAACTCCCATACTCGTACATTCAATTTAATGATGCTAGTTGGCCTGCATCCTGTGATGATGCAGACGCATGTATCTAGGATTTGCATCCAGCGTCTCGTTGATCCATCTTGAGCACTCAGAGTCTGTTAGTGAGCCTCCTTTCATTCCGGAGGGCTCCTTTATTTTCTTTCTAGTCTTTGAGATGTTAGGATGACCGGGGGACCTGTCCCGATATCCCTCTTTGTTTTAAAGGCTTCATAGAAAATTAGTAGTCAGATGTCTTTACATTATTATTTCATATGTTGAGACTTGAGTTGCCATTTTGGCCAAGTTGAATGTGGACTATTAAACATTCTGAGTTATTTCACTAAACTTATTTGAGTAAGTTCACTTTGATCATAGTAAGCATGTTTAGAGTCTTCCGTTGAGTCAGTAAGCCAGGCCAAGGGTTCACTTGAGACCAACAATGGTTTTCGAGTGTCAGTCACTCCCAGGGTGTAGGCTCGGGGCGTGACACAAAGATTATGTTTCCTTGAGTACATAGTTCCCGAAATGCCTGCCCATACTACTCCATTTACAGACAATGGAGGAGCTATCAAAAAGGTTGGCTTTTCAAAAGTTTTGCATTTGAGGCCTTCTTTGCTAAGCATGTCCGCCACCTTGTTCTGCTCCATGAAGATGTGTGTTGGCATCGCTGCTTCCAGCTTCTCAATCAATGACCTGTATTCAAAGATTAAATTAGTGTAAAAGTGATTATCATGTTCTAGTAAATTGATCATTTTCGAGGAGTCAGTGTTGATATCCAAGGGATGAAGTTTATATTCAACCGCAATAAGAAGACCTCATCTTAGAGCTCTTAACTCGACCTAGATAGGACTGACATGTGCTTCTTTACTGAGGGATCCAATTGTCCAGTCACCTCTGTGGTTTCTGATAACCCCTCCTAAGCCTCCTTGTCGAGGATTAGTTTTTACAGCTCCATCAGTGTTGAGTTTGAACTTTGAACCTACATATTAAGTGAGGTTCCCATTTAACTTGGATAATGCACTTGTCTTTATTACCTTGTGGTTCTCCTAAATGATTTAGAACTCAGTGGCTAGGTTGATCATGTTGGTGAAGAAGATGCTGTCTTTTTTTTATTATTATTATTGAAAAGGTTGTTGTTTCTTTGGAGCCAAATGGCCCAGAAGCATTAAGGGAGGACAACTCCCAAAGAATGAGGTTGTTGTACTCTTTGGTGGCAATGCAATTCCAATTCTCCGGGAAGAGCATGCTTTTATCAAGCTTATACATCGAGGTATTGTTCACCATGATGGTATCCCAAAATTTAATAGCTTTGATACATCTGAAGAAGATGTGGTCTATGTCTTCACTGTGGTGGCCACATATTTGACAACTAGAGTGGATATCCTAGCCAATTCTGTTAAGGTAGTGGGAGCAAGGGATTTTCTGGTGATACATGAGCCAGATGAAGGTTTTGATTTTGTTGGGACAAGTCATGTTCCAGATCGCCAGAAGACCTTCTCACAGATAATTTCTAGTCAGTGTGTATAGATTCCAGTCCTCTTTATTTTTTTCTGCAAGGGCTCTTTCTTACTTCTAACGTGCTCTCCTATTCCGACTTCCCCAGAGCTTCCGGTAGCACAGCCGAGACATCGACGGGTTCTCTACCCCTGCGGGGATGGAGCGACAGAAGTTTTTTTGAGAATTCAAGATCCAGTCAAACTTCTTAATCCCTTGATTTGATGTGGAGTGGGTGGTTTTTGAGTGGATAAGCTTATAGGCATTCTTGGTGGTAAACTTACCATTACTCTTAAGGACATAGAGTCTTGGCTAGATCAAAAACGACAATTGCTTTTCAACTTATGTCTAGGGCATGTGGAGTTCGTGTTCAGAGTAATCTAAAACGACAAATCATGTCTAGTGTTGAGGATGATGTCATGATTGTTTCCTGAGGTAACGACAACCCTTTATTTATAAATACTAACTACCTTCAGTCGTTTTTCTTTTTGATACATTTATTATCGACACAAATAGTTTTCTCATTTTCCGTACAATTTTCAAAAGTTGTTCGAAAGTGGAAATTTTTAGGCAGGAAAATTTTCCGTACAGTTTTCAAAAGTTACTCTAAAATAAGGAATGTCTTTTCAATTTCATGTTTGGGACACATGACGAGATCGTGTTAAGAATGATTTCATCATCAGTTATCAAGGTAATGATGACCTTTGCTTATAAATATCAACCCCGTTCACCCGTTCTAATGACAACCTTTGCTTATTTTGAAGTGGAGGTAATACTAATCATATCATTTAGTTTAATTATTTAATATATTTTCCGTAAAATTATGTGAAAATCGAAATAAGTCAATATGAGATATTTGTACCATCAATTTAAAAAACAAATGTGCTACAACAATATTGAAAAAAAATTATGTTTATTTTGTCAAAGTCATCTTACTATAATTACTTTGATTTGAAATATCCAAGAAAGACTCATTAGATTCTATGAATTGGATATATATTTGACTTCTTTGACTTACATCCAACTTACATGCCAAATATTTGAGGATTTTCACATTGACTACATGTATCCTTTGTGTTATTATTTTTCTTTAAAAGATTATTATATATTATACAATAAATACTTTAACTAACCCCTTTAAAATGGAAAAGAGTTTTAAATTTCATTTAATGTATAGATGAGTTAGAGATTAAATACAATGTACTAACTATAATTACCATCAAGTCAGTGACTCTATATAAGGAATCCAAATTTCAGTGTTTGGCACCACAAACAAAAGACTACTCATAGCTTCTGCTCAATGGAGTTTATCCTTTTTTTTATTTTGCCTTTTCAAACCCTTTAGTGAGTGAGTGACCCTTTTGATTTTGGATTGAACTTTTGTTATATCTAGTTTCATTTTTGATTTATATGTAAAGAATCCATTTTTTCACTTTTGGTAGACCCCTTTTTCAGGTTTCTTGATTTTATTTATGGGATGAGTTTATTTGAGTTTCAAAAGATTTTTTTTCATTGGTTTCTTGCTAGAATTTGAGCTTCGAAGTTTTCACTGTTCATCTGTGATTTTGCTTGTTTAGTTGGATAGAGATTGAGTTGTTTCTTTTTTGGCAATTCTGATGAGTGGATTTTTTTTCATCAGAAAATTAAATTTTTTTGATTCATTTGTTTTTTTTTTTTTTTTTTTTTTTTTTTGCAGAAAATGAAGTTTTTTTATTCATTCAAGTGATTTTGGGAAAAAAGTTTGTTTACTGTGACTCAGAGGAATCTTTTCTTTTTCTTCTATATCCATTTCCTTTGGTAATGTTGCTGCTTTTATTATGCTTACTAGAGCTGTTTTTTGTCGTTCGCGTTTCTGTTTGAATAATGGATACAAATTTTCCCTTTTGTTTTGTCAATTTTTAATTCTCTGTTGTTTTGTTTCTTTTCAATTTTAATCGCCGGATTACCACTGAATGATGTTACATTGAAGGATAGAGATTTGAGTAACTGAAATATAGTAGAATTTGTAATTCTCATAGAATATTAATTCTTTGGCAGCTTCACCTGTATGATAATATTGCTGATTTATTGAGCTAATTGGAGTTGTTCTTATTGTTGTCAGCCTGTCTTTGAGAGTTCCACATATACGATAAATGTTTCTGCTTAATCGTTCTCACTGGAGTTGTTCTTGTTGCTATTAGCCTGTCATTTATTTTTTTGTTATTTAACCTATCAAAGAAATATTATGTGTTTTTTTCCTTTTGTTTAGCAACTCTAATTCTCTGTTGTTATGTGTTTATCTTAACTTATAATCCTCACACGTCCAAATTATCACTTGAATGATTTTTTGTTGCAGGACCAAAAATGTGGCTAGACACTTGACTGATCAAATAACAGCAGTAATAAACACTCATAGAAAACATAATCAACATGGTTGATGATAACATCAGTGATGATGTCGATGAAAAGTCGTTGGTGGTTTCAGACCAGGAAAAAGGAAGCAGGAACAAGAGGAAGTTTGCATCTAAGCTTCCTCTAGGAACTCCTTCCGATTCACTTGTGCCATCTCTTACGGAGTTTCCAAGATATGAATTATTAGAGAAAGCAATGAAAGGAGACACTCTTTTTGAGATTGACCCATTGACGAGCGGGTGTCCTCAGTCTGATGCGGAACAAGAAGTGGAAACTCCACCAAATATAGATTGGGAGGATACTACAACTACTCAACTTCTTGAGCTTTTAACCCAAAATTTGTCCACAATATTTCAGAGCGCAGTCAAGAGGATTGCCAAGTGTGGATACAGTGAGGAAATTGCTGAAAGGGTTATCTTGAAGAGTGGCCTTTATCATGGCAGCAAAGATGTTGTCTCAAATGTTGTCGATGGTGCCTTGGCTTTATTGAGTAGGGGAAAGGTTCTCGATATTGGTAGACCTGTTATATTTGCAGATTTACCGAGCTTGGTTGATTACACATTGTTGGAGATGGTATGTGTGTTGAGGGAGGTTAAGCCAGCTTTGCCAGTTGTAGAAGCAATGTGGTGGTTGTTAATATTGGACTTGAACCTGGTACATGCATGTACAATGGAAGGCTATCATCTGGTTGAGTTATGCAGTCAAGAAAGTCCAGGCGATAATTCGTTTGGTTTGAATCTTTCCCAATCCAAGACTGAGGCTTCTGAGAATACTCAGTCAAACCCGGATAAACAACAATTGTCAAAACCTTTTACCTCAATTGCTCAAACCTTGCAGTCCAAAGTTCTTGTTACTAGTGCAGCCATTGAAGAACTTGAGTCTATAAGTTCACATGTTTGTCAAGCGGCAAAAGGAAAAGGAAGTTCCACACCTTTTCCAAAAGCAAAGGCTAAATTGAAAGCAACAATTTTAGAAGACAAATCGGGAGCCGGTCAAAAAGCCCTAAATTCCAAGAAGGATTTACATAGGCGAAAGACATATCAGTTTGAGAAGAATTGTAGAAGTACGGGTAAGGACATTAAGGCAAACATGACTGCCTGGGGTAGTTTGGTTTTGGACAAGAAACTGAACTCGTCTTCTTCTGGTGCAACAAAGAAGAGTTCGCACTCTAAAGTAAAAATTCCGGTTAAATGCAATCAACCTCTAGCAAAAGCAAGTTCTGATAGTCCATGCCCTTCCTCATCCATAGCACCTACAAGTATGCAAGATTATACAAATGAAAAGGATCTGGATTCGTTAGCCATGGAGCCTAAGTCCAGCAAAAAAGTCCCAGACAACATAATTGTTTCTTCTGCGGTGCCAGATTATTATGCTGGTATCCCATATGATGAGTCTTTGGGAAAATATGTCCCTCAAAATGAGAGAGATGAAACTATATTGTTGCGAACTTCCCGTTTGAAGACACTGCAGAAAGAGCTCCAAGGGTGGTCTGATTGGGCAAATGAGAAGGTAATGCAGGCCACCCGGAGGCTTGGCAAGGACCAGGCTGAGCTTAAAATGATGAGGCAAGAAAAAGAAGATGCTGAAAAAGTTCACCAGGAAAAGCAAATGTTGGAGGAAACCACCATGGATAGGATTGTGGAGATGGAGCAAACGTTGGTAAATACTAATTCCATGGGTGAGACAATTAATTCTCTACTTAACACCTTGGAGATGGATAATGTTGGACTAAAGAAGGATATGAAGGTTGTAATGCTCTCTACCAGTGAGCATGCTATGAACGTCAATAATGCTTTAGCAAATGAGAAGGATGCAATAAAGAAGTGTCAAGCAGCGGACATGGAGAAGCGCTCATTTGAGGAGGATTTATCTATTATCAAGCAGGAAAAAACTTCTTTACAGCAGCAGCAAGAGAAAGCCAACAAGGTCGTGGACCAGTTTAAGGTATTTTTATTCTAGTAATTAAACTTCTTTGCCTAGTTGATCGAGGTAAAATGTTTTTTTTTTTACAAATATAGTTAGTGTTTTAGAGTATTTAGGCTGTTAATGTCTTGTTGTTGTTTTTTACTTATTGCCTCCGGTAATAACTGTTCAAGCTTTCACTTATGCAGCCCTACTGATAATGCATTTACTATTTGATATTTCTTCTATTATGAAAATAAATTTGTAAATATTTATGAATTCCAGGTCCTATTGAAGCAGGAGGAATGGGTGAAACAAAGGTTTCTACAACAGGCTGATTCTCTGAAAGCTGAAAGAGAACAACTCCGTGTTCAGGGAAAAGTACAGCGGCATAATTTTAGAGAGAAGGTAGACAAAAACATGCAAAAGTATAAAGAAGAAATCCAAAAGTGTGGGAGTGAAATCTCTCAGTTGAGATTCCAATATGAAAGATCAAAAATAGAGGCACTTAAACGAGGCATTCCTCAATTGACAAAGGATTTAGCAGCCTATGCAGAAAGTTCTGACTCTAATGTTGTAAAGATGGAGAGGGAGTGTGTTATGTGTATGAATGAACAGATATCAGTGGTTTTTCTCCCTTGTGCACATCAAGTCCTTTGTGAAGATTGCAACGTGCTTCACCAAAAGAAAGGAATGGATGAATGCCCTTCTTGTAGGACACCAATTAAGGAGCGGATTAGTGTCCACTTTCCTGATTCCGAATAGTCAGCAACTTCAGAATAGCTGCAGGAAAATGAAGCTTGTCATTGTTTATTTTTTCCAGAAAAAGTCTGTCCTTTTCTTCAGGCCTTTCTTTCCTACCGTAACTGTAATAGTTGATAGGAAAATGCAAAAAGGTATAGAGATATGTAGAAAGTACATGTGAAAAGAGTTAGAACGAGGGAGACGTGCTTAATGGTTGTTGTAAATCCTCAAGTTTGATGGTTTAATACATAATGCTGTTCTATTTGCTTAAACTTAATCTTCCTCAATCATTTTTTATACTTCCTCAAGCTCCCAAAGTATGATTCAAGTGTTGTGCACTTACACAGACTTACTCTTTTTAATTTAACCATTTGTTATTTGAAACGTAACATCCTAACTAATTTTATTCACCCAAGGGGTAAATGTTCATTCACACGATTCAAACTCGAGATATCTTATTCCTATTTTCCCTTATAGCACTTGACAAACCAAACAAAATTATTTCTTTGCTGCATTCTATGAACTTACACCAGTTTCCTAACCTTGTTTTTCAAAATTAACTCCATATGCAATAGAGTAGTTGGATCTTGATTGTCTACTAGCAAGAAGTGGAACATCTTTTGATGTTAGATATGGACAAAGATGATATGATATCACTTAGAACCATTTCATTTTTGTTGATTTGGAAATAAGTGATTCTGTTTCTACATAAGTTAAAATTTTAGTGGAAGTTCTTCCTTTGTCTTGTTATATCTACTCAGTACTAGTATTCACCTGTTCACATTGGCTTTGAAATAGCTGCAAACATGGTATTGCATTATGTGGATGTGGTCTGATTATTTCCATTACAGGTTCATCTGAATTCAGTAATTTTAATTCTGAATATATTTTATGATATTTTTTTCCTTTTCCTATTATCTCGAATGATCATACATATGAATATTGTTGAAAACATGTACAATTTTACAGCAGAATCTAGTAATCATAGCTTTTACGGAATCCATTTACAACTTTACTCTTAAAAATCCTATATTTGTACTCTATATATTTTATGGAAAAGAGTCATATTATAATATAATTGTCCTTATAATCCATTTACAACCTGTCTCTTCCTCTTCATTTAATGGTTGATGATAAGTTTGAGGTAATCCAATTGTATTCAAGTTCAATTTTTTCTTCATTTCTTGCTAGATGACTTGTGTATTGTTTCACAATGTATTGTATTGTATTGTATTATTTTGATGAATATAATATTTGGTTAAATTTTATTGTATTTTGTCGTTACATATTTAAACTAACATTGATCGTCGCAACAGAATACAAGAGGTAACAACAATCCAAACAAGGTGACACACCATAAATGTGAAATGGCAGTAGGCAGTAGTGGTTTTGAATGAAGTTATTTATGAAATCTAAATATTTATTTGGTTGTTGAGGAAAAAGAGTTACTAATAAAACGTTTTTCATTCAACATCATCTTTTAATTAACAGACAGCTGGTTTAATTATTATTATTTTTTTTTTCAAAAACTCTATAAACTTTTGTTCTTTTGTAAATAAATTCAAAACTTGACCACTAAGTTTATGCTATTTCTTTTTCTTTAGTCGCTATTGTTGCTGGTTGGTCTAATTTAAAACTCAAGTGAATAGGAAGTTTTATGCAGGGATTAGTTATACATGTATAAGATATTCCACCCTCTATCCTGCATAAAATAATACAAATATTTCCTTTTAACTTATACGTGTATTAATTATGTGTGTTTCTAAATTGTCAACCAAACCTCATATTAATTTTATACATGAGTAATTTATTTTCTATCTACCTATCAAACATCGTATAAGTTATATATATGAAAATTAATTCATGGATAACTTGTTTCTTATCCGGCTACCAAATGACCCCTAAAGGTGATGTCGACGGTCATGGTGAAATTGTTGATTATTATGGTGTGCTACAAAATATCCTAGAACTTAGGTATCTTGGATGGCCAAAAAAAAGATAGTACCATTTCGATGCAAGTGGTTTGATCCATCACATAGAGGTACAAAGGTGAATCAATAACATAATTTAATTGAAGTTAAGCACATGAGATAACGTGCTCGCTAGCTATGACCCTTTTACTATTTAACAATGCTAAGTAAGTGTATTATGTTTCATATCCTTTACATAGAGATATGTCTGACTAGTGGGTAGTTATAAGACCAAGTCTATAGATAGAATTGAGGTTGATAATATGTTAGATGTGGCGTACCAAAATGATGTAGCAGTTCAAATAGTGAACATATTGATGGTTAGAAAATAGTCTAGAACATCATGAACACATATTAGAAGAAGTTGATCATAATGATGAAGTAACTGTCATCGCAAATGTTAAGGTTGAATTGGCCGAAGAAAATGAAACAAGCAGAGAGGAAGAATTAGTTGATGAATATGAAACAAGCACGAAGGAAGAACTGACTAACTGGTAGAAATAAAACAAGTGAGGAGAAAGAATGGAAGAATAACAACTAGCACACATACATTCTGTCATAGATAACTAAATGTTACTCTCTATATCAGCTTTACTCTTTTTCACGCGAGAATTACATGTGTTTTAGAAATATTTGTGTACCCCAATATGTTGCAAGAGATGAACTTGGCTGCGACCTCAGCATCGTTTATCAGAGATAGATAACTGTGGTTGAAAAGGAAAAGAGTGAATAGTCACCTGAAGAGTACAAAGAGGAAAAACTCAACAGAGCCAAGGCATGGATAATCAAATAAGGCTACGGTTCCACATTCGTGATACAGCTCCTGTGGGTAAAGCTGAAAAATTCAATTTATCTGCAACTTCAGTGTGACAGTACGTGTGTGCTCGATGATTAACTAAGTTACAAACTTGATAATGCAGGGTTCTAATCTGTAATAGTGAAAATAGTGGTGCTTTTGTTTTTAATAGTACATTAATGACTTATTTGAATTTGTTTGGGATTGTCTGTGTAAACATTGGAAGGACTCTGAAAGTAAAGTCTTTAGTCTCTCCTAAAATAAATTTAGACAACAATTTTTTTTAGCTACCTATAACAATTTTATACATGTCAAAACTCAAAAGTGAAAATAAGTAGTGAGATTTGCCACCACACTTCAGAGTTCAAACATTTTAACAGAATCATAAAACTTCCCAAAGGGTTTTTGTTAGGATCTTTAGGGAAGAATTGATTCACAAGGCGATATATAAATTCAGCTCATTAAAAGGATGCCGAAACCTAGAGTTCAATGGAAGAGAGAACTCCAATCACTTCAGCTCTTTAAAGGGGGGCTGAGGCTTCTGAGAATACTCAGTCAAACCGATATAACCAACAGTTGTCAAAACCTTTTAACCCAATTGCTCAAACCTTGCAGTCCAAAGTTCATGTTGCTAGTGCAGCCGCTCAAGAACCTGAGTCTAAAAATTCGTATGTTTGTCAAGCATGTTCCACACCTCTTCCAAAAGCAGAGGCAAAATCAAAAGCAATTGTTTCAGAATCGATGCAAGTTTAAAGAAAAAGAAATTGTTAGCTAAGGTGGAATCTGGAAGCTGACGTATCAAGTTAGTTAGTTGCAACAGTTCACCAGGAAATGCAAATGTTGGAGGAAAACACCATAGAGAGGATTATGGAGATGGAGTAGGCGCTGGTAAATTCTGATTTCATGATTGAGACAACTAATTCTGATTATGGAGATGGAGTAAGCGCTGGTAAATACTAATTTCATGATTGAGACAACTAATTCTGGTCTTAACACTTTGGAGAGATATAATGTTGGACTAAAGAAGGAGATGGAGGCCTTAATGTTCTCTACCGATGTGTATGCTATGAATGTGAATAATGCTTTAGCAAAGGTGCTAGAGGCAGTAAAGAAGTGTCAAGCAGAGGACGTGGAGAAATGCTCATTTGAGGGAGATTTATCTACTATCGAGCAGGAAAAAGTTGTTTTACAGCAGTAGCAAGAGAAAGCTAACAAGGTAGTGGACCAGTTTAAGGTAATTTTATTCTAGTAATTAAACTTCTTTGCCTAGTTGATCAAGGTAAAATATGTTTTTACCAATATATATAGTTAGTGTTTTAGAGTCTTCAGGTCATTAATGACTTGTTGTTACAGTATCGATTATAATTTCAGTTCTTTTTTACTTATTGCCTCTGGTAATAGTGGTTCAAGCATTCACTTAGGCAGTCCTTCTGATAATGCACTTGCTATTTGATATTCCTCCTATTATAAAAAATAATTTTGTAAATTTTTATGAATTTCAGGTCCTATCGAAGAAGGAGGAAAGGGTAAAACAAAATTTTCTACAACAAGTTGATTCCCTGAAAACTAAAGAGAACAACTCTATGTTAAGGAAAAGTGGAGCAAGATAATTTTACAGAAAAGGTAGAGAGAAACATGCAAAAGAATAAAGAAGATATCCAAAAGCGTGAGAGTGAAATCTCTCAGTTTAGACTGCAGTCTAAAAGATAAAAAATAGAGGCAATTAAACAAGGCATTCCTCAAAATGAGAGAGATGAAGCTATATTGTCGCTAACTTCCCGTTTGAAGACACCGCAGAAAAAGCTCCAAGGGTGGGCCGAAATTGGGCCATTTGAAGACACTGCAGAAAAAGCTTGAAGGGTGGGCTGATTGGGCAAATGAGAAGGTAATGCAAGCTACTCAAAGGCTTGGCAAGGACTAGGCTGAGCATAAAAAGTTGAGGAAAGAAAGAGAAGATGCGGAAAAAGTTCACCAAGATATGCAAATGCTGGATGAAAATACCATGGAGATGGAGCAAGCGTTGGTAAATATAATTCCATGATTGAGACAACTAATTGTGGTATTAACACTTTGGAAAGGTATAATGTTGGACTAAAGAAGGGGGAGGAGGTCTTAATGCTCTCCACCGGTGTGTATGCTATGAACGTGAATAATGCTTTAGCAAAGGAGCAAGAGACAACAAAGAAGTGTCAAGCAGGAGACGTGGAGAAGTGTATCTACTATCCATCAGGAAAAAGCTGCTTTGCAGTAGCAGC